ATTAAATAAACAAAGAAACAAACAAAATGTCAATGCCGACATATGTCTAAATCTCGTTTCGCAAAACATCCTGGAAGCTGCATCTTATTAGACGATGACAACTGAAAGAGGAAAATATAAACGAATTAATATAAGTAAAAATACTTTGTATACCTACAAATTAGCAAACAGATCAAGTTTAATTAAATTATATATCCAAAAACTCTACTGTCGGTAATTAATAGAGTACTAGAAAATTGAAATTCATTTTTCTCTGCAGTAAAGTGAGCATTCAGTCTGTTTTATCAAAATCCTTACCAACAAAGGACAAAAGATTTCAGGCATTTTTAGCGACCTCTATTCAATTATATTAAAAAAATAAATTTTATATCACACGCTCGCTATGGGACCTATAGCATAGGGGGTTATGCGCACGGAAAGTGCCAGATAGTACAACGCTGAAGCGCATAACCCCCTATGCTATAGGTCCCATAACGACTCGCACTTGTGATAGAAAATAGTATGTGCAACTCGTTCGGAAAAGTTGCCATAGCGTCAACTGCGTCCGCGTGGCGCTATTGGCAAACTTTTCCTCTCGTTACACAATGTACTATTTGAGTACCCTTAGTAGTAGTAGCAGTGAAATGGGTCGGCTACAGCCTGGCAATTAGGCCACAAGTGGGCCCTTTTTACTTACCCCGCCATGCCATCACCTTTCACTATTTGCCTCTAACCTTCTTCGAACTTACCTGACACCCTGATGATCGCTAAAATTTTGGTCCATGGTAAGTCCCTCACCTCTTCCCCTTGCAGCTCTTCGGTACCAAAGACTTATCTTGACATCCCGAAGGCTACACAGTGTCACAGAAGATGGGTAGGAGTATCCTCCCCTTCTCCCATTTCGGATATAAACCCCCACCATTTGGTATAGAGCTCTTTGACTAAGACTCAGATGGTGAGTAAGGCGAAGCAGACACTGTGTGTATGTCGCCGCCTTATTGGGATAACCTGGGGACTGAAACCAAAGATGTCACACTGGTTGTATACGTCGATAGTAAGACCCAGGATTCTTTACGGCGCGGTGGTATGGTGGCAGAAAACACAACAGACCACAGCGAAGGAAAAACTGAATAGAATTCAGAGATTGGCCTGTTTAGGTATAACGGGGGCGATGGCATCGACCCCGACAGCTGCACTAGAAGTCATGCTAAATCTGCCACCGCTGTATATAGTGGTGGAGAGAGAAGCGCGGCTAGCAGCATATCGACTCAGGAATAATAATGACTGGAGGGGTGGTTCCCACTCCAGGATCAAAGATACATCTATGTCGGAACCAATTCTTGGGATGGTATCCGACAAGATGGTTCCAAAGTTTCACTTCCACAAGCCATTTGAGACTCGAATAGAGGATCAAAGCGAGTGGGAGGAAAGGTTTAATACCCTGGAAAGGTGGAGCCTAGTATGGTTTACAGATGGCTCCAAAATGACCAGAGGGACGGGTGCAGGAATATATGGACTCAGACCCAGATGGAGTGCAAGCTACAGTCTGGGGGAGTTCCCTACTGTATTCCAAGCAGAAATCTTCGCAATAATGGCGTGTCTGGCAGAGAATGTACGTAGAGGTTATAGACGTAAACTCATATATATATTCTCTGATAGTCAAGCTGCAATTAAAGCTTTAGCCGCACACAAGGTAAGTTCAAAACTGGTGTGGGACTGTTTACAAATGCTAACTGAACTGGCCACCAACAATACAGTCAGACTGTGTTGGGTGCCAGGGCACAAAGGCATTTGTGGAAATGAGAAAGCGGATGAACTTGCGAGGAAGGGATCCGAAACAGTGTTCATTGGCCCGGAGCCCTTCTGTGGCACATCTCCCAGTGTGGTCAGGCGGGCTATGGGCAAATGGACAGAGACAGAACATAGGAAATACTGGACTTCAAGGCCAGGACATAGCCATTCCAAGGAGCTTATGGAGTATCCTTCGAATGGAAGAGCGATTGAGTTACTGAGCTTGAATAGAATCCGGCTCAGGAGAGTGACAGGACTCATAACGGGACACTGTCACTTTAAGAAACATCTACATAGACTAAAGCTTGTAGACAGTCCGGTCTGCCGAGGATGTGAATCGGCGGATGAAACTTCTCTGCATATCCTGGGCGAGTGCCCGGGATTTGCACGTAGCAGAATGGCGCTCCTTGGGAGACCCTATTTGGAACCCAAGGAGCTGAGAGAAGTGTCAGCAAGGAAGCTTTTGGACTTTGTAAAAAGGACTAATCTACTTGCTGAATAGGACTAGTAGTGGGACGCACAATAGGCCTAATTAGGCCGCAGTGGACCAACCACTAGATGATGAAGATGAAGATGAAGACTCAGATAAACCTATAGGCCTACATCCTTTGTACATCCTCCTGTTTTGACCTAGTATTTGGTAGGCCCATTTATTAAGGGTCCCGTTAATGCTACCTCGTGTGATTCCGAAGATTGGTTCAGGTCCGTGGCCAGGTACTCTGGATCTAAGGAGAGCCAATTGGTCTGCTCTCTAGTTGTCAGGGATATCCATGCGACCCGGAACCCAAACCAATTCTACCTCTCTTCATCTGGCCAGTAACTCCAGGGCACCTCCACACTCCTGTACAAGGACGGACCTTGTCCTCGGGAAGCTAACCGCCCTAAACATGGCTTTAACTTTTTAAGGAAGCATAATTATACTAAGGTAACTTCTTATCTAAAGTCATGCTAATATGGAGAGGGCATAATCGAAGCTACACTTCCAACACATCCACTGGGCTTTTTGAATATCCTAGACGTGGCTTTGAAGCATCTCAGTGTCACTGCAATATTTTAAGGTTCCTGAACGCGGATGATTTGTTGAAATCTCTTGAAGTACCTGGGCATACACGATTTATAGTGTATTCAATGTCACTGGAATCTTTTGAAGTTTCTAAAGGGGAAGATAAAAGGTTTTGATAAAATGAAACATATTTGTATTTACACGAAAAAAGCAAAAACACCATTAAGTATTTAATAATTTTCGTATTCATTCTTCGTCCTCATCTACAGAATTATCACCTGAAACGAGAATGGAGAAGAAAACTATAATGGAATCCATGTTGTTTATGTTCATTATGGACAAAATTTATTATGTCTGCACAATAGTTATATGATATACAGCCTGGTCCATTTAAACGAAACATCTGCGAACGCAATCCAGATCCTTATGCAGGCAGTCTTCTTCTTCATCTTACATACATATTTTCGGTTTCTTTTTCATTTTGTCCATAGTGAACATAAACTACATGGATTCTATTATAGTTACCTAAAGTCTCCATTTTCGTTGTTCGAGGTGATAATTCTGCAAATGAGGACGTGAATATGAAAATTACTAAATAATGATTTTTGCTTTTTTTCTTGTATATACAAATTTGTTCCAAATGTGTTTCCTTTTATCAAAACCTTCTATCTTCTCCTTGAAATAAGAGTAGTACGATTTCGTTTGAACTAGGAGGCCCGTTGACCGTATATGGACCCCACTCAAGTTTGACAATCCCTTAAATGTAACCTGGACATACCAGGTAATCATAAAATAATTGAATTTAGAGGTGTATGAAGTTGATAGTAGGGCACCAGCGCAGTTAAATTTAACATTTTAGTTCAACTTTTTTAGCGGAAAGTCAAGAAATGCCATTTTTTCAACACAATCTAACGACATTATGGATTGTCCAGACTTTAGTTATTATACGTATTTGTAGGAAATTTTGTCTACTTTAATCTGGTATATCATAGTTATAATAAAAAAAGCTTAGTTATAGTTCAAAAACTGAAGAAAGTGCGGAAAATATGAGGTTTTTTGCAACTTTCCTTGTGAAGCCGACGCCTGGCGAGGTGGCAAACCTCAGATTCGGATTCAGCACCCCAAAAAACATAGAGCCGGTGAGAAAGAAACTTCTACATTTGTTTCCTGGAGAAAACCTTTGCTTAGTGCATTATATGGCGTTTAGAATTCTCCTGAAAAATTGTTCTATAAAATTACTGCATTGTAGGTCCTAATATGAGACCCCTCTCATAACAGGAACCCTAGAATTTTTTTTTATTTAGCACTTGTATTTAAATCCACAATTGTTGATTTGTCAAAAATAAATTACATTTCAATTTAATGGGTAATCATTTACTACTGATTAGAGAAAATAAAATAATACGGTTGTTTTTTATGTCTTTAATAGAAATAATAAGTACAAAAAATGTCATGAAAATACCATTAAAACAAAAATCTTATCATTTATCACATTACACTGAAGTAAAATCCAATTTCTAATACCTATTAATACTTATGTCATATCTACGAGTGAAATGTGAACTTGGTGCAAAATAAAAAAAAACAATAAAAAAAGTATTGGAGAATACCTCAGTATAGAAGAGTATATTATATGAAAAAAAAAACTAAAAAATACAAATCATAAGTTCAGACTGAAATGAATTTCGTTTATCTTAAATCTACTTGAAACTTATCATTACTTTATTCGTATGTGCAGAAATGCTTTCTATTTTGTAAAAAATTTTATTCGATTTATGTGCATTTAAAATATGAAGTATTTAATTTGTGATGATCTCTAGTACCTAATTTATGCAACTATAAGGGCACATTTATTTAATATCCATAACAGTATAACTAACGTTATAAGGAATGCTTTTTTAACAACTGGAAATATCTACAAGGCACTGGATGTAACTAATAAATCTAGTTAACAAATTTTTAAACATATATCTATGCAAGTGGGCATGTTATCTATATATTTTGAGCCTTTTGATGATTACAATTCCTATTGATCACACAAATGTATATCACTTTACCGATAAAAATTAGTTAGCTGCTCCAAACAGAATTATACTACATGGCACTACATGTTTAGATTGAGAAAGTGATATATATGAATCGAAAAATTATAGATTTAGAAGAGTACTGGAGTTAAAATTATATGTGAAATATTTCGATAATTTTTGGGAGATTCATTTTTGTATTTTCCGCAGTTATGTCACGTTTTACAATAAAAATAATACAGAGAGCTAAAAAATTCTATGCAAAAATAACAAATATAAATGCATTCAACTATTACAATCTAATACCAGTTATACATTTTTAACTATTTTTTGGTTCAAACCGTCTTAAAATTATTAGTTGCAGTAGTGTTATCAATAAATGGTAAAATATTACTATTTTGGAATGACATACAGACGTATTTAAAACCTAAAATTGATTTGTGCATTTCAGTCTTTTATGTGCCTTATTCTTATCAATCTATTTATATTTTGATGTGATTCATCATGAAAATGTAAGAACTGTTGAAGCTCTCCATAAAACTATATTTTTTTGTAGCTAAAAATTTTTTTATGGTATCTTTTTCTGAGTCACTCGCAACCAAATGTACTCCAATAATTTCAATTTTAACACGTTGAAATGGTATAGTTTCTAGCACCTGAAGCTCAGTGCCGCCTGTCTCTAAGCTGAAATAGTCAATATTCGTTACATTCATAGCTAAAAGTAGAGAATATAATGGAAAACATTTTACTCTTGTATTGAACCAGTCTGGGTCTTCAATACTATTAGCATGTACACTGTTTATTTTTACGCCATCACTCTCTTGGTGTAATGTGACCTCCTTGGGATATGGCATTGGACTTAGACAAGCGTGTACAGCTTGAGAACGTACCCTATTGTGTCTACGTAAACTAAAATAATGTTTTGGATCAGGTTGAATAAGGAGTCCACGCCAATTTAATTTCTCTTCTAACCATTCAGTCTTTGATGTCTTTCCATCACTATAAGCACCAGATTCAACAAATGTTCCATCCCTCTGGAAGGACATATATGTATAGATTTTTTTTTTAATATATTTGTTCAATCATAATTAATGTATGAGAAAGATCATTAAGAAAGCCAATTTTTCATATTTGTTTGTTAATTTTTAAAATAGAGAAAATAACTTTTCTGACATCACAACCATTATTTGGTGAAACATCGACGTTGACAAATCATCAACAAATTAATTTATACTATTTTATGAAAAGTACTAGAACTGTGAATTCATTTTGTGGGATTTACAACAGATGGCGTAACTTATGCTATATGGCATCGGACCCTTGTCTAACTATATTCATGTCAAACCTCTTGTCATTAGGCTTTACTTTTTATTATGAGTCATTTTGTTGAAACAACATATTTTTTGTCAGCTCCGAAAATGTCGGATTAGGAGCCAACAAAACATTTGCAGGAAATTTTACTTTTCCTATTTAATGCAAAGAAAAACGCAGCAGAAAGTCATTGAGTGCTGTTAGGCTTATGGTGAACATACATACTACATTGATAAAAATGTGTTAGTATTGGTTTTGACTTTTTAGAAGTGGAAATTTGAATAATTCTAAATATTTCGAATTTTCACCACCAAGACCGGCGGTGACAACATTTTTAACATTAAGGCGACGTTTCACATTTTATTAGCTATGTCCTGTACAAATTTAGTTTCGTACAACTCTCTCGGTTTCAAAAATACAATACCTATGTATGTTTTCAGCCACGAAATTTGGAAATTGCAAATATTTCCAATTTTCACCACAAAGAACGGCGGTTGACAAAGAACGGTCAACCGAAATAGTTCGAAGATGAGGAAATAGAAGCATTACTCGACCAAGATTCGTGTCAAACGCAAGTTGAACTTGCTGAATAGTTGCATATTGATCGGTATAATTAAATAGCAAGGAAATTGAGTGCCATACGATTTGAAGCCGAGAGATGTTGAACAGCAATTTTTCACATTCAACTATTGCTTCAAGGGCAAAAAAGAGAGGCTTTTTTTAATCGTATCCTCACTGGCTATGAAAAATGGATACACTATGATAATCCTAAGCTTAGAAAACCTTGGGGTTTGCTTGGTCATACATTAACATCAACTGCAAAGCCAAATATTCATGGTTCGAAGCTCATGCTCTGTATTTCATGGGACCAGCTGCTTCAATCGAATGAAACCATCACTGGTGAACACAATTGATGCGCTTGAGCCATGCATTGAAAGAAAAATGGCTGCAATTCGATTTTTCAACACGACACCGCTTGACCATATGTTGCTCATGAAGTCAAAAAATATTTAGAAACGCTGAAATGGGACGTTTTATCCCACCCGCCATATTCACTAGACTACTTGTTCCGATCCATGGAACATGGCCTAGCTAAGCAGCACTTCCAATTTTACAAAGATACGAAAAATCTTATAGATTGGTGGATAGCATCAAATGATGAGTCGTTATTTCGAAGCAGAATCCGCATGCTGCCAGAAAGAAGGGAAAAAGTAGTAGCCAGCGATGGACAATACTTTGAAAAATAATAATGTACACAATTTATCACAATAAAGCCTTGAATTTACAAAAAAATAAAATCCCTCAAAATTCACAGTCCTATTTGACCAACATCTTTTTAGGGATTTTTTGTCATTTATCTGTTATTGTTCGATTTTGGAAGAGCATGAAAATTAAGAAAAACATCAGATCTGTTCATTTGTGCTGCTCGAATACTGATATGAAAATCAGTTTGTTCGGACAGTTGACAGAATTTAGATCGGTGTGACAAACGAATGACTGTTAAATTGGATCAACATCAACAGTGATATTTATAACAAAACTGTAACATGCAACACAAATGATTAGAGCTACAGTGCATTAGTCAATAGACTCTTTTAGTGTGACATCACATATTTAGGCAACCCGCACCAAATTGTCATAGTTGAAATTTTGTACAGATCAAACCTGACCCTTGTTTACTATTTACATAGATACTATAGAAATGAACAATTTCAAATTTACTTATTTTTACAAGGATTTAGAAGCAACAGTCAACGCCTGTTTCGTAAAATAATTACACTAATGTGCTTAAAACTTATAAAAAACAATATAAAAGATTATTATATATTATATAACTTTTCTTGAATGGTATCCTGTTGCGAGGCTATTTCGCTTACATGAAATTATCTTTAATGCGCATGCTCAATAACATTGATATAATTTTAATTTATTAATTACTATAAAAGTCAATATTGTTCTATAAATTTAAAAATATCAATTCTATAGTTCTGTAAGTTTGTCACTTGGGGTTTGAAACTTCTTAAATATTTCTAATTTTGCCCGAATATTGCGATAATTAAGGTCATGACAAAGAAGACATTTTTTTGGCACTTATGTCCAAAGTACATAAGGTCGAAAATCGATCTAGTAAAAATACTGAGGAATTCTTCATGACAATGTGTACTATGGGGTTGTCTATGATTTGGAGTATGTGGTGTCATTACTAAAAAGGTCTATTAAACAATTGTAATATTGTCATACAAAAACAAATTCTCCAGGCTTGTCAGACAGGCAGCAAATATTTCATGCAAAACTTTCTACAATAATTAAATTTAATATTCAAAAACGAACATTAACGACAACATATTAATTTCCATACTAACCTTGTTTTTAAGAAGTTTTAAAACGTATGCGGTATCTTTCGAAACTGAATTTTCTGATTCTAATGGCTTATGATGTGGTTCAATAGCAGGAGCTAAATGAACTTCCCTAATATATGTAACTAATTGGGGATTGTCCTGTGAAACTCCAAGAAGCTCATAATCCTGACTCATGTTAACTCTAAACTGGTAGTGCCTCATAGCTAGAAATTAACACAGTAAGAAAGGTTAGAGATGTCAACAGAGTGCTTGAAAAGGATTTGATAATAATAATGTTAATCATCTGTTACTTGCTATTTGGTATTGGCTACAACCTTTATTTGTCTTTTTCATTGTGCTTCAGCAATGAGTAGAATTTCTTTGATCTGTTCTATCTACTATCACAATGTATTTTGTGCTTTTATGTCATTAACTACAAAATAATAGTACTTTCCTTATGTCCTATTTAGGTGTCCTTTCAAGATAGAGGATATATACAGTTTAAAAAAGATTTTTATTTATAATTCTCATTTAAAACATTTGGTTGAAATTGTATCCTTTACCTCGCTCTTGTAAAATTTTAATTAACGGTTTGGTTTGGAGATATCACAACTTCTTCGTATGTGATTGGAATTTTTTTTGTTAATGCTGTAAGTATATTTGACATTCATTAAAAAAATGGTGTATTTTGAAACAGCGAACTTGCAACAGTTTGGTTTAAAAATGTTCTCTTAATTTACTTATTTACACAACATGATGAAACATGGGCTAATAATTTTAACTGAAATTAATGTTACCAAGCACTTCAGGAGAAAAAATAATTAGGATAGAAATTTTGCGGTTTTTCTGTCTCATTTACTTTTCAAGATACAGCTAACAAACAACCACAAAATTCCAACATACAGGTATAAACTGATTGTGCTGTTAAAAAAAAAAGGTAAATACTACATTTGGCATTAAAATTAACCTAACAAATAGGCAATGTCCTTAGTGCAGATATGCCAAGCTGTATAAAGACAAAAGAGCATAGTATTTATCGAAGTAGTAAAGTACTGATTAAAGGATGAAAGAAGAGCAAGTGTCAATTTCAGTTTGTAAAAATATAAGGATCACTAAGAAATGTTTGTTATTTATGTGCCACACGTTTCTCGTGAAAATGAACACACTGATAATTAATATAATAGTGTAGCAACCTCAAATAAACGAAAGTACATAAATATAAATAATTTCTCTTTAACAACCACTAAAAAATGTATTATCAAATTTGAAAGTTTTTTTAATGTCGCACGAATGCAGTACTTATGCCAGTCTTATAAATGTAAATATTCAATTAACTTCACATGAAAAAAATGCCAAGAGGATTCTTGAGAATAAATATCTTGAATTACCTACATGAACTACAAGTTAATAACATACCAGTATTTTCCATGTATATAATCAAAACCGTCATAACTGTGGTAAAAGCCATGAAAAAGGCTGCCAAAGGCAGAAGTTTCTTTGTTACACCAGATATTGGTTCAAGACTACAAACTTTTGTAGATGAATGAGGTATTTCTGTGCTGTTGCTGTGTACTGTAGAGCCATTTTGACACTGTCCTGATATAGTCATCATTAGTAAATGTTTAAACTAGGTCCTGAAATAGGGCATCTAATTTAAAAACAACAAACTTATTTCTGTATTGAAAAAATGTTGCCACTTGGTCAGCACAGCGGTGGTAAATAAACTAAAATATTTCATTATTTACATACATTCATCCAACAGCTTACCTGTGAAACTTTTAACACCTCAGGTAGAAATAACTCGTGAAATCAGTCCCTTTTATAATCTTTTGTATAACTACATTATAAGAATTTCTATATTTATGAAAATCAATCACAAAACATAGAAGAAATCAATATTTGGTAGGTATATAAAAAAAATTAGTATAACTTCACAGGAACATAAACACGAACTTACAACAAACAAACGTAACGTCGTAACCACAGGAGTTTACGAAAATTAATTCGTTCTGCAGTCTGCTCGTAGTGATCATTTATTCGTTGTATTCTCACTATTCTCTCTTTCTAAAACCATAAGTATAACAAGGATAAAGATAGTATTCTGATCAACCGGAATTAATTTTCTTTGGTAAATTTCTGATTCTGGAAGAATATATATTAGACTGGGGACATCAGAAATGTCTTTTCCATGGGTGTAAAAGCTGCTACACATACTCACGCAAGTCGGCCAAGTTGGCTTGTACAATACTATAGTACGATCGTATTTGATGCAAAGTAATAAATCATTGCCTGTCAAGGGAATCAGTGCAACACATTTTATAGGGGGTTTTGGAAATTGAATAATGCATTATGGATTAGCAGTTATATATTTATGAAGGACAAAATGAAAAACAAAGGCATCTCCTTCGCACATTGGGCGGCAGGTGTCTTGTGTTTTTTGCGGCGGCGCGCGTGCCGGCCTGGCGTGGTCAGTTTCGTTTCGGTTGTATTGGTGCTGCGTGTTTCTCGCTCGCGATATTTGTGAGGTTATAACTGTTATAAGTGCAATTATATTTCTTTAGGGCTATATGTGTGTTTCGCGCTATTATTTGAGAATTTGTGAGTGAAATCATATTTCTTGTGCTCCGTAACAAAAGTGTTTTTAGTGTTTTATTTGTTTGCTGTGTGTGTTTCGGGCAGTTGTTTGTGAATCGTGAATGCTATTATATTTTCTGTGCTAGTGAAGTGAAGTTTTTTGTATTATTATTGCTCTGTTGTCGTTATATGGAGAAATGGAGGCGGTGCCTGGATGTTCGCGAGCCGGATGTACTGCTGTGGGTACAAAAAAATCTATATTAAGTTACAGAGAAAAAACGATAATATTAAATGTCTATAACCCTTTAGAAAAGGATCATCCCATGAAACTGAAGACTGGTTTGGTGGAAATGTGTTCTAGATATACTGGAGTAAGCGAATTATCTGTTTTCAAAATTTTAAGAGAGAAGAAAATTGAAGGAGACGTTAAGAAACCTAAAAAAGGGGGTGCAAAGAAGAAATTAATATTAAATGAAGATGAGAAAAATGCAGTTTGGCGTACAGTACATAAATCATAGAATTTATATTTTGTTTATAATTTGTTAACATTTCTTGTTTGATAGAAAAATAACTTATTTTGTTGAGATTGGTAGAGAATTGTTGTTAGTGTTTTCATTTGATAGAATCATATCATAGGATTTATATTTTGTTTTCATTCTGTAAATATTTATAGTATATCTGTTATACAAGGTTTTTGCTTTGAAACTCCGTTCTCCTTATAAAAAAAATAATCGTAATGGGGTGCGATGAAGAGATCAGTTCACGTCTGGAACCCTGTTCCTACAAAAATCCCTTTATTCTCATAAACTATTTGTTTTAAATGTAATTTATTATAAATCCAATTCGTTATTTAAATTCCACATTTCACCTCTGTACGCGCCACTGTTTATTGTTCCCTGCTCTACGATCAAGCTCGCCAGGTTAGTATTTGACGTATAACCGACCACTTCGTACACTCGATGCACCTGGCCGACTACAGCTAGTACCAGAACACAGTGCGTATGCGGCGGTATTTCAGATTTTACATTCAATTTCATTTTAAATTTGAAACGGTTCATCTTACGCCTCCTAAAAATGATGACACGATTTTTCTTTGATAAAAGACCGACAATTTTTTGCTCTACTTTGCATCGTATACGATCGTACTATAGTCGGCCGACTTGCACGAGCATATGCCCTGTCACACACACTCATGCAAGTCTGTCGATTGGCTTTCACACCACATATACTTTTGGTGACGATTTTTTTTTAATAAGAATAACGTGCGAGAGAACTGAGAAAGCCGCTTCTGCTTCTTGTGATATGGTGTCGGACGATATTTTAATTGCAATAGCAATTTCATTGCATTTAAAGAAAAAAAAAATGTAAAAAACGATCACGGTGGACAAAAGACTGATTTAAAAAACGGGAATCGTTTTTACATGTAAATTTATTTGAAGAATTGTGACTGGAACCTCGTGATTGGATGAATTATCTAAAAACGGATGCTGCTTTATACGAATTATTGTTTTCGAATAAAGTCGGCCGACTTGATCAGAGTTCCTAGCGGGCAGCCGACCAGAGCACACGTGTTTTGTGAAAGTGTAGTGCAAGGAGCAATTTCTACCTGCCTTTATTAAGGCTACCTGGAAAGAATCCCTTTCTTTCCTTTTAATCACCGACCTAATCCCCGGCTTAAGCATAGACGCNAAGGAACTATAACGTTCAAGATATTTTATTACATGAATCGTTCAAATGGTCATTTTACATGAAAAAACTGCGGAGTGCTATTAAATTAGAGGGTGGAAACTGGAGATAGGGGTGAAAATACACCCCTTTCAGTTTTTTAATTGTAGCTCGAAAACGAAGCAAAATTTCGCTATAGTTTATAGGAAAAATTATTAAGAGAATTAAATTTACCATCGAAATGGCTTATTAAAAAAAATTAAAAGGAAGATTTTATGCAAAAAATCGTTAATAAACAATTTTAAAAAGCAAAAAATAAGATTTTTAAAATTTTTTTTACTTCTTTGACTCTAATTTATGTTAAAAACGACGAAAATCTAAAAAATATTTAAGTTTAACTGGTTATGACTCAGTCAATATTAGTCCAAAATCTTGAAAACGCATCATTTTGAAGGGAATCTCATTTAGTTTGTTTGTACAGCAATTTCCTTTGCCTACTTCTACTTAAAAGAAAGTAGAGTGAAAAAAGTTAAGAAAAATCAAAAAATCTTATTTTTTACTTTTTTTGGATAAAATTTTTCTTTTAAATTTTTTAAATAAGCCATTTCGAAGGGAAATTCAATTCTCTACAAAATTTCTTTCTTTTCTTTTCCTTCCTTCCTTTTTTGCAAAAAATGGGAATTAAAACGTATAAGGATAAACACGAGGAAAATCGAAAAATTGGCCAAGTTTGAAGGATCAGTCAATTCTCATCCAAAAATACTGTACAACCTCTTTTTTTTAAGGAAATTTTATCTACTTTTTTTATGAAGCAATGCCTATACCTATATTTACTCAAAAAAAAACTAGAGGCAAAAAAGTAAAAAAAAATCGTGCTATTTTTTCAAATTGTTTATTACCAATTTTTTGCATAAAATTTTCCTTTTAAATTTTTTAAATAAGCCATATCGATGAGAAATTCAATACTCTAAATAATTTTTCCTATGAACCATAGTGAAATTTTGCTTCGTTTTCGAGCTACAATTAAAACACTGATAGGGGTGTATTTTCACCCCTATCTCCAATTTCTACCCTGTAATTTAATAGCACTCCACGGTTTTTTCGTCTAAAATGACTCTGAACCATTCATGCAATAAAATTGCTTGAAAGTCATAGTTCCTTTTAACCCTGTTTTTTTTGGATATTAATCAATAGCCTATTTGTTGAACTGTATTGAACAACACTGATATACTTACAGAAATAATAACAGATAAATTTAAAGTAGGCACAAAACTTTTGCTTATGAACTTATTGCTGAACACCCAGTATAAAAAATAATTCTTAATAAAATGAAGAGAGTCTTGTTTCAGGATACTGACTAACAATATTAGTACCTAGTTTTTTGAAATCTATTACAATAATGAAAAATTAAGTTTACAGGATTAGTCAAAAAGTCATGACGGAACAAAGTAGCTTTCTCTTTAGAGGAACACCCTTTATATTATTCCATATTTCAATTCTTCTCGAAATTTTAAACGAAATTCATATAGCACGTCATTTACCTAAACTACCTAACCTAAACCGTTTTCGAGATATCGAACTTTGAAAATCATTTTCCATATAGTTGATCAAGTTACCTTTGAAGGTTTCTAGTTTCTAGCTCCATAACTACGCAGCGCCGTTCTTTTGTTTAGTTGTGATTACCTTGACAACACATGTTAAAAATGCATTTACCTAATATGAATAATAATAGGACATGTTTTCTCTCTTTTTTATTCTCATAACTATTATTTTTATAAAATTTAAAATATCCAGGATATTCATTAAAAAATACATATTTTCGTTTCATACATTTTTATCAACCCTAAACTGAGCAGATGTAACTGCATTTTAATTTTTTCC